GGGGGAGGCGGGGGCGGGCTCCTCCTCCTCCACGTCGGGGAAGTAAAACTCGGAGAGCTCGTCGATGCGCTCGCGGAGACGTCTCTTCTCCGGGGACAGGGACGAGATGAACTCTGAGGGACAGCCGTCGGCCACGCCCCTGCCCTCCTCTTCCTCCTCGTCTGTGTCTACATGTGTTTTACCCTCCTCCTCATCCTCCTCCCACTGCCCTCCTTCTACCTCCCTGTCCTCTGTCCCCTCTTCACTCACTTTCCACTCGTCCTTCTCTTCCTCGTTTCCCTTTGTTCTAACGTCTCCATCTAACTTGTCTTTCCTTTCTAACCCGCCCTCGCCCTCCCCCACACAGCCTGCTCCATCGAGCTCAACGTCACACATCTCCCCTCCCTCCCCGTCCGTTACTCCGGCCCCCCCCGCCTTGCCGTCCCAGCGGTCGCCCGGCCCCTCTGCGGACTCGCCCTCTCCCTCCTCACTCACTTTGAGGCTCTTGGGCTGCTGGCGGACCTCCACGGCGTGCTTCTGCCGCAGCTCCTGCTCGCGCCGCTTGTTGTACTCCATCTGGTTGGTGAGTTCCGTCTGGTGCTGCGTGCGGATCAGGTCGGCCCGCGTCCGCTGCACCAAACCCAGCTGCCGGAACTCCAGCTCCTGGGTGGTCTCGTGGTGCCGGAGGAGCATCGCACAGTCCAGGTCCTTCAGGGTCTGCTTCTTGTTCAGCTCCTAGAGAGGAAAGCAAGGTGAGCAAGAGGCATGGAGGGTAACATATCAAAATGATAATAAGAGGAGAGGAGAGGGAGATTCAATTCTTCTACAGGACTGTGTGAGGAGAATATAATCATATCTCACGATAGGTTTATTAATAGTATTCTTTTTTTAAATTTAAATACATTTATATAGATAGAATATGATCTGTGTGAGAAGTTTGTATTCAACTCTAGTCTTTTTTCTTTTTTAAAGGGCAGTTCAACCCCAAATTCTAAATAAATATAATTCCTCATGTTTGTTTTTTTTAACAATGTTGATTTTTTTTTTGGTGCGATTTGGATGGTTTAATCACCAAAATGATATTTGTTATTTCTTTAGCCAGCTTCAGCCGCCATTCCTATCCTTGCACAGAAGGAACGTTGAAATATTTCAAGAAGAAATAAGAGCTGATTGAGTGGTGACTAAAAAGTGACGGCGAGATATTTCTTAACTAAACATTACGTTAAACATGTGATGCTTACAATCAAAAGTAAAACTTTATAATAGATTTCTTGAGCTTAAATTCTTAGCATGGACTTTGGGTCGGGTTCAAAGTAAAGAAAACGGGGGAACTGATACATCCCAAATAAATCAAACTAATAACTGTGAGAAGTCTACCTGACTGCTGGCTGCTTAAAGTACATTTGAGGAGAATGTAATTAATACCATGTCAATCTGACACGATACCTCTCGGAGCAGGTCCTGCTCCAGGTTGTGGCGTGCCAGCAGCATCTTCCTCTTGTACTGGCGACACTGCAGCTCGTAGTACTGCCTCTGCCGCCGCAGCAGCCCCGCCTCCTCCTCCGCCTGCAGCTGCTGCAGACACTCCTTCTGATGCACCAGCCACTCCTGCTTCTCCCGCTTCGGGGTGGACTGGTTCTCATTCAGCTCCTGGAGGGGAGACACACGAGAGGCAATGAGCGGACAGTACGGTATTAGTGAAGGATGATTGAGCTGAAAGATCAGGGCTGTTTGGATTGTGTTGGGAAATCTAGAGGTCATTTTAAATTACGTTTAGTTTGTTTAGTGTGAAAACTAAAGAAAAACGTACATTTTAAGTTAATTTAATGGTTGCTTTAGTTGGATAAAAACAACGTAGAGCTAATTATAAAAACAGGATGTGTGAGAGTGATACGCGAGGTGATATTTGGGCTGGACTACATTACATTCTGAAAAGACTTAAGACTAGAAAGTCCCTTTTTGATTGATTCAAACTTGTATTAGTTGAATAAAACTAAAATGTCTACAAGTCAAATAGAACTTTAGCCACAGAAAAGAAATGAAGGTTAAGTGTGTCGTAAGTGTGAGTGCATTTTATTTCATAAAAGGAAAAACTACCAGGGACATTTGAATGAATAAAAGAGTGGTTCTGGTGAAAACCTCTTTGAGCTGCTCCTTGCGGGCTCTGTACTGCCTCTT